AGCCTATCGGCGGGGCGGAGTTGCTGGGTTTGCTGGTCGAAGCGCTCGCCCCCGCCCGTCGCAGCGGCTTTCGACGCCCCATGCGTCGCCGAGGGCGCGCTGGGGCGCGAGGGCGCCGCCGCCGCGTCGGCGCGTGGATGCATGCGGGGGGCGCATCTGGAAGGCGCTCGCAGACTTCGGCGGGCTGGGCGAGAGCGGCCTCGCCATCGAGAAATCAAGGGGCTCGCCGCAGTCGAGGGCGCCGACGAGGGCGCCATCGCGAGGCGCGACCGCCGCGGCAGCATGGAGGCCGACAGGAGCGCGCAAACCGTGGCGGACGCCTCCAGGGCGCGAGAGGGGTGCCGCGTGGCCCGCGAGCGCAGGGCGCCCACCTTAGACCGGGCAGGGCGCGCTGGCAACGAGTCGGCCCAGTTGCGCACTAACATCGGCGATTGCCGCGCGGGGGTCGCGAAGGGGCCGCTCCTCAGCGCGGCGAAGCACGACCGATCATTGCCGAGAACGGCGGCTGCCAGCGCAGGCGCTGCGCGCTGCCCGGTCGGGGCAGAAATCGAGAAGCTGCTCCCGCGCCAGAGCAGCGCCGAGACTTTCGCGCCAGACGTCGGCGGGGTCAAACGGAGGCCTGGCGTCTCGGCCCTGCCGGCTGCGAGCGCGCTGGCCGCGCCCCTGGCGGCGGCGGCGAGGCTGGGGCGCGAGGGGGGCCGGGGGCGGCAGTTGGCCGGGGCCGCCGCCTCCCTCCCTGGCGCCAGTTGAACCGCCTTTGTCAGGCGACGGGGCCTGCCCCGGCTTGTGGGCGGGGCGCCGTGGGCAGAGGTGGCAGGTCGCCGAGGCCGCCGAGGCCGCGGCGACGACGGGGGGCCCCCGCGGCGCGGGCGTCGACTGCGTCGCGGACCGCCGCGACCTGGAGACGGTCGACGGCCGCGGGATCTGCAGGCGACGCTGACGCTGCGTCAGGGCCAGCGCGGCAAAATCAGGCAGCTCAGTGGTGCGCGCCAGCCTGTCGCCGGGCAATGCCCGCGCGCCCGCGCGCGCATGGTCGGGGACATCGAAGACGGGATGGGGCCGAAATCCAGGAGCGGGCGGTGCTCGCAGCGAACGCCGCGCAGGCCGGGCAAAAAGAGGGCCCCCACGACTGTGACCGCATGCGGCCGCGCCATTCAATGCAACGTTTCGTCGCCCCGTAGATAGCTCCACCGAACGCCCCAGTAATTGTGGCCACGTGCGTCCGCGGTGCCCAGCACGACGTTTCGTGGCCCCAGAAGGATCCCCACCAAAGGCCGCAGTGGCTGTGACCGCAGGCGCCCGCGCCGCCCAGCACAGCCTTCGTGGCCCCACAGGGAGCTCCACCGAGGCTCCAGTGGCTGTGACCACCTAAGTCCGCGCCACCCAGTAAACCGCTTCGTGGCCGCGTGGAGAGCTCCACCGAATGCCCCAGCGGATGTGACCACATGCGTCCGCGCCGCCCAGGGCAGCGCTTCGTGGTCCCATAGGGAGCTCCACCGAAGGCCCCCGTGGCTGTGACCACATGTGTCCACGCCATCCAGTACAGCGCTTCGTGGCCCCATGCGGAGCCCCACCGAAGACACCCGTGACTGTGACCTCAGGTGCCCGCGCCACCCAGTATAGCGCTTCGTGGCCCATATAGATCTCCACCGAGGGCTCCAGCGGTTGTGATCACATGCGTCTCTCCCGGCTCTTTTTCGGCATGCCCCTCGCTCGTTTTGGGGCCTGCCCCTAGGGAACTCCACCGAAGGCGTCGCGGCGGTGTCCACAAACTCCTTCATGCCCATGTCGGCATCCTCCTCAAACGCTTCCCATGGTCCCATGCGGAGTTTCCCCTCCTTCGTCCCGCATGCTTTGGGTCTTTCGCCAGGTCGCCAGGGCAATGAGTAACAATTTGATGTTTTTGTTTGGTTTCGGCCTTTGGGGGCCTTCAGCGGGCCCTGGGACCGTCAAGCGACGTTTCAGGATGAACAGCGGGCCGTAGGGAAGTCGGCTTTCCAGGATGGTCGCCGAAAAAACACGGCGTAAACGTAAACTCTTGGCGCTCTGCGCGGGTTCCTGAGATCGGCGCTGGCCCCCCCCTGGCGGCCCCTCTCCTGGCGCGCTCCGCGCGCCAGGGAAGTGTGTCCAGCTCCGACCCAAGGAATGCGCGCAAACCTCCGAGAAATTGCGCCGTTTTTTGTTCCTCCGGTTTGGGGGGGGCGCCTGGGAACTTTTTCTGGTTCGGCGTTCTGGGGTGGGGGCGTGGGCGGTGGAACCGGTCCGCAGAGACATGAACCACCAGGGTGTGGGCCCGACGTTTCCAGCACCGCCATCTCGTGCTCCCGAAGGAGTAGCCGGCGGGGCGAAGGGCCCTGCGCGGAGCCTCTGCCTGACCTCCGAGAGCTGCCGCGCCAAGCACGAACGGGTGGCTTGGACTGTGCGGGTAGCCTGCATCGGCGGCGAGCCCGTGGGAGAGGTGAGAAGGGGCGGGCCTTCTCAGAAGGCTCGCAAGTTCCCCGGCCTTCTGGGAAGTGCCCTGAGCCTTCCCCGGAGGCACAGAAAACTTCTCGGAAGGCTCGAGGGCTTCTGAGAAGCCCCGCCGCCTTTTGGGAGGGCCTTCTCCTTCTCACCTCCCCCTCTCGCTCGCCGCCGACTGCAGCTGCGTAGAAACGCAACAGCAACCACCATCGCACTGGCCATCAAGTCGCTCACTCCAGTCTCGGCCTGTCGGGGCCGCTGGGAGCCCGCCAAAGGCCTGCAGATGCCGCCGTCGTCGCCGCCGCCGTCTTCGTCGCCCGCCGCCGGCTTCGTCGCCCGCCGCCCCTCGGCGGGGTGCTTGGCTGCTTCGCGGCGGGAGGAGGGACGACTCGCAGGCGGTAATCCCCGAGTTCCTCCCAAGCTGGCCGTGTAGACAAGAAGAGGGCGTTCCACTGCAGAAGGCGATCGCAGTAGGACAACATTGAAACAGCAGAGCGAGCTTCACGAGCCAAGCGATGAGCGGGGATACTCAGGAGGAAAAGAAACACACAGACACAATTAATCCTCGATTCCCCAGAACATATGGGAAAATATGGGAAGCGGGGGGGAAGACAGAAACCCAGAAAATATTTGAAAATATGGGGAATATTTTTATTTGTGTGTATTTATTTGTTTGTCCTGGGGCCCCTTCAGATACAACAGTCATGAGCCAAGCGATGAGCCGGGAGAGGAATTCATGAGCCCAGCGACGAGCAAGGAGAAGAATTTAGTGCCCTGCGGTGGTGGCCGCGATGCGGGCCCTGGCTCCGAGGCCGAGGAGGAGAGAGGCGGGAGGAGAGGGAGAGGAGCAGATTGGACGAGCCCAGAATCGATATAAGTCCCTTCCGGGGCCTCCGTAAATTTTGGAAGTTGTGTGGCGTTCTCAACCAAATGTCGGGCTTTCTCGAGCATTCTCGGGGAGGGCGAGGTGAGCAAAAACAACAACAGCAACAACAACAGCAGCAACAACAGCACCAACACCACCACGAACCACAACAACACCAACAACACTTACATCAACAGCAACACCAATAACCACAACAGCAGTAACAACAACACCAACAGCAACACCAAGACTAGTTTTAAAACTGTTCGCTCTCATGTGCTAGCGTGCCATTCAACACGTGTATCCCAAACCGTCGGGTACCCGCCGTCTTCGTCTCCAGGCGTACCCCCCTTGTGTCATATCTCCCCTACCCGCCGCGCGCAGTTGGCGCCGCCCCTGAAACAGGGGAGATGGAGGGGAGGAGTGAAGAGGCAAGTGGGAGGGATGATGATGGAGCACGAGAGAGGTTTGCAGGAGGCTGGTCGGGAGCAGGCACACACAAGCGGCAGAGCCACACGGGCGCGTCGGGCCGGGGGGGCAGGCCCTCACAGACATCGGGCGGGCGGGCCCAGACGGCTAGGTCGAGCGGGCGGGTCGCTGAAGCGTCAACCCATCATGAAGGATCTCCAGATAAATCGCGCGATTTCCAGATATGATCATGAAGGATAGCGAAGATAGGATAGGATCATGAAGGATAGCGATCATGATGATGCTTTCCAAATAGGATCATGAAGGATTTCCAGATAAGATCGCGTCAACCCATCATGAAGGATAATGAAGTATAGCGCGATTTCCAGATAAATCGTCAGGAAATTCGAGGCGAGAGCGTGATTCGTGAGTCTTGGGGGCACGAGCGCAGAAATCAATCGTGACGGAGTGCCGCGCGAGAGCGCGATTTCGGCACACATTCTGAGGAAGTCCCGCGCGAGAGCGCGAGTCTGCCATACATTGGGAGGAAGTATCAGACGGGAGCCGTGGTTGTAGTAGTTCGGGGCCCAATCACCCAGCTTGATGACACTAAACTTTCCTTGAGAAAAACATGAAACAAGGTGCGGCCCCCCGGGGGAGCACTTTTATGGAAAACTGCCAAGGTCACCGAAGGGGGGGTGGCAACAACAACTATTTTGCAGAAGTGGGATCCTCAACACATCCCCTCGGGACGGAGAGCCTCCACGCCACGGCCGGACTCGGCTCGGCGAACGGGCCAGGGTGGCGCCCGAATGGTTTTGGGGGTATTTCTTTGGGGGGTGGGAGGGAGGAGGGGGGAGGGGGGCGGGGACGGAGAAGGAGAAGAGGGGTTTAGGGGGGGTCTTTTTGAGGGCCTGGCTGCCTCTGCGACGAGAGAGGAAAGGGATTGCCTCCTCATGCGACGAGGGCCACTTCGACGGCGGCGATCTCGACGGCCGATTCCATTGGCCTCGACGGCCTTGACGACGGCAACAGCCTCGATGGCGGCGACCTTGACGGCGACGACCTTGACGGCGACGGTGACCTCCGCGGCAACGACGGCGGCGACCTGGACGACCACGACGGCGGCGGGGGCGCGGACGGCAGCGACGACCTCCACGGCGACGGCCCCCACGGGCCCACGACGGCAGCGACCTCGCCGGCGGCGGCGGCGGCGGCGGCGGTGGCGCATGGCGGCGGCCGGCGGCGGCCCCGCCGGGGCGCCGAGGCAGCAGCCAGATCGTCGAGATCCGCACGCCGTCGGCGAGCCTCATACCCGAGGAGCCGGGTGGGGGACCCTTGCGCCCGGCCTCCTCGGCGAAGGCTCGGAAATCCAGGCGGGGCGGGGGGGGGGGCGCGAGGGGGAAGAGGAGGGGGAGGGGAGGAGGAGGGGAGGAGGAGGAGGAGGAGGAGGAGGAGGAGGAGGAGGAGGAGGAGGAGGAGGAGGAGGAGGAGGAGGAGGAGGAGGAGGAGTCCCCGGACCAGCGCACCTTCGGGGCCTCCTTCGGGGAGGCCTCTCGCACGGCGAGGCCCTCGGAGGCCCTCGGAGCCTCTCGGAGGCCCCCTCTTGGAGGGGGGCCTCCGAGAGGCTCCGGGGGCCGAGGGGCCTGCGGCCCTCGGAGGCCTTTCGGGGGCCCCTTCTCGGAGGCCTCCGGGAGCCCTCGGAGGCCGTCGGAGGCCCTCGGAGGCGTTGGGCGGCCCTCGGATGCCCTCCGGAGCTTGCGGCGGTCCGCGGAGGCCTTCCCAGGCCTTGGGCGGCAGCTGCCACTCGGAGGAGGTTCGAGCTCGGAGGGGCGTGGATCGAGGTTCGAGCCTCTGATGGCGGCCTCGTGGCCGCGTCGGGGTCCGCCTCGAAATCATGATGAGAACGCGCCTCGAACTCTCGAAACTCGAGGTTTGAGGTTCGGCGCTGTCGAGTTCGTCGTCGTCGTCGCCAACGTAGGCGTCGTCGTTGTTCTCGAGGTTCGTGGGTCGAGGTCGTCGTCTTTGTCGTTTCCGTCGCCGTCGTCGTTCTGGAGGCTGCCATTGAGGGTCGAGGTCCGAGGGAGGACGGCCGAGGACCGAGATTCGAGGATCGATGCTCGAGGTCGTCGTCGTCGTCGTCGTCGTCGTCGTCGTCGTCGTCGTCGTCGTCGTCGTCGTCGTCGTCGTCGTCGTCGCCATCGTCGCCATCGTCAGCGTCGTCGTCTTCGGGGTCGTCGTCGCAAGTCGAGGTCCGAGGATCGAGACTCGAGGACCCAGGAGCCAGGAGATCGCGGCCAAGGCTCGAGGCCTGAGAGAGGCAGGAGGAGGAGGAGGAGGAGGAGGAGGAGGAGGAGGAGGAGGAGGAGGAGGGAGCAGGAGGAGGGAGGAGGATGGGGAAGGGGCCTCCCGAGGGCCGCGCACCGAACAAGAGGGGGCCTGCCGCCGCATGGCTGGGAGGCGCGAGTCGGCCGGAGGCGCGGGAGCCGGGCGCCGTGCCGACAAACGCACGGCGGACGTGCCGGGGCCTGCCTCGGGCCGGGGGGCCCGGGGACCAGGGCTCGTCTCGATTCCTTCGATTCGATTCGAGTCGATTCCTCCGATTACATTCGATTTCTCGGATTCCTCCTCCCCCTCCTCCTCCTCCTCCTCCTCCTCCTCCTACCCTCCCTCTCCTCCTCCTCCTCTCCTCCTCCCTCCTCCCTCCTCCTCCTCCCCCTCCTCCTCCTCCTCCTCCTCCTCCTCCTCCTGATTCCTCCTCCTCCTCCTCCTCCCCCCCCGATTCCCGATTCGATTCGATTCGATTTCGATGGCTGCCAATGCCGATCCGATTCGGCCTCGGATTCCGGTCTGGGCTCCGACTTTTTCCTCCTGTTGGAGGCATGCCGGAGCCTGCCGATTTCCGCCGATGCGACTTCTCCCGACTCGGCTGCCGATTTCCGCGGGTCCGATTCATTTCGATCGCCGATCCGGCTCATCGATTCGATTCTGGGCTCTCCTACTGGTGACCCTCGCGGCGCCCTCAAGACACACGGCAGCAAGATCCGGGGGAGCCTCGCAGGGACCTCTTGTCGGCGCAACCGGAGGCGCCTGCCCGGACTTTGTGCCCGGGCCGCGTGCTCTGTTGCATGGGTGCCCGGCGCCGCTGCAATTGTTGGAACGCGCGGCGTAAAACATCAGGATCTTGCATCTTCATGATGAGTCTGGAGCCAGGGCTTCGGATTCCAGGGGGGGGAGGAGGTTTTGTGGAGGCCCTGGGGGAATTCTACCATGGGGTCTTGGAGGGCCTCAGGGGTCCTGGGGGTATCCAGGGCAGATACCAGGGCTCCTCTGGTTCACCCTATTCGGCGGTCGAATGGGTCGGGGAGAGCAGGCGGGCTAAGTCTGATGAGGCCCAGGTCGATCTTTGGCCTCGTCGTGGGGGGATGCCTTCTTCCTGGACCGCGTTGTGGCGAGGCGAACCGCCTGAGATCCACAGCAACAGCCACAGCCACAGCCTCCTCCTCCTCCTCCTCCGCCTCCTCCTCCTCCTCCTCATAGAGTCGGCTTGGGGTGCCTCTTGGGTAATCCTCCTCCTCCTCGTCCTCCTCCTCCTCATTTTCCCCTCCTTGCTCCTCCCCAGGCCCCCTCGCGTCGCGACCAAAACCACGACGGAAGGTACTGTGTTATTTTCGGCCTGTGGAGGCTTTCGCCGGGCCCGGGAACGTCGAAGAACAATACAGGACGAAACGTTGGTCCCCGGGAGTGGGTCGAGCCCTCCGGGGGGTCGACGTTGTGAACAAAATCATGACGTCGGGGGTCTGGGTCCTGCGCGGTCCCCGTGGCCAGACGTTTGGGACCAATTCCATCCTGGTTTCGAGAGGGCCTCGATGTTCCCTAGGCCCTTCCATGGGTCTTCCCGTGGCGCTCCGCGCGCGTCCGAGCGCAACTGACGCTCACGAGGGGCTCCTTCCTTATCATCAGGCTCCTTACGGCAGCGCTGGGGGCTGTACTTCATGCGCCCGCCCCCCTCCTCCGTTCCCCACCCGTCCCTCCCATGCCGCTTACTCTGAGTACCTCAGTAGTTTCTGAGCCCCTGGACTACAATGCCCCCCCCCGGACTACGGGCCCCCCCCTGGACTATAAGGGCCCCCCCCCCGCATTCAAGGGACCCCCACCCGGACTACAAGGGCCCCCCCCCCCCAGACTACAGCGGGACCCCCCCCCGAACTACAGAGCCCCCCCCCTGGATTACAGGGGCCCCCCCGGACTATTGGTCACCCCAGAGTATGTCCAGTTGCCGCAGCCATCTCGTCATTTACGCTTCGATCGTCGCGGCATCTTCGACATCAGTGCCACTGGATGATAAGGACGACGGAGAGGTACATGAAGCGGACGGAGGTGGATTCTATCATGCTTCCATGCCAGTTTGATACGTAGTAATGTCATCGGGGGTCGTTTCTTACTCTTCAGAGTGGCAAGTTCACGACTGTTGTTTGAATTGTGCGCGATGGCCGTGATTATTTGAAGACTGATGATGCTTCCAGCGGTGGCTGCCGATCACTCTGATGCCAGACTGCCAGGAAATAGAGTCCTCGCTGGACACCGACTCTTTCAACGTTCTGAGTTGGAGCTCCGAGATCAGGGCAGCCGTTGCTGCGCAGGTGATTGCCAGCGTGGACAACCATGTTGAAGGACACCCGGTTCTATCTGTTGTGGGAGTTGCAGCCGGTGCCAGCAGTAAGCGACTCATTCCTCCTGCTCCCTGGCAGCCCGTAGGTCCCGCCGGTCCCCCCAAATCTGCAACGGGCAGACCAAACACAAGCCCTCCCGTTCGCCTCCACTTCCTCGGCCACCCCCTTCTCCATCTTCCATCTCCCCCTTTGCCTCTCCCACCACTGCCATCTCTAGGGCATGCCCCTGGGAGAGGGGAAAGGGAACTTGAGGGGGAGAAGGAAAGGGAGAGGGAAAGGGAGCTGGAGGGGGAGGAGGAAAGGAACAGGAGAGGGAAAGGGAACTGGAGAGGATGTAACAACAGGAGAGGAAACTGGAGGGAACTGCTGGAATAACAGCAGGAGAGGGAACAAGGAGCTGGAGGGGGAGGAGGATCGGGGGGAAGAGGCGCGCAGGAGGAGCGGAGCGGCGTGTGGCCAAGCACGTGCGATCGACGGAGGAGGAGGAGGAGGAGGAGCAGGAGGAGGAGGAGGAGGTGACACGGAGGAGGAGGAGGAGGAGGAGGAGGAGGAGGAGGAGGAGGAGGAGGAGGTGAAGGAGGATGCAGGATGATGAGGAGGAGGATCAGGCGATCGCAAACATGGATCAAGGGGGCGTGGATTAGCGACGTTTCCCGTTTCCATAAGAAATTGCTGATTGCCGCCGCCGAGCGAGGCGCCACCGGCCGCATTTTGGGGAGGGCACCTCCCCCGATCCATGTTTGCGCGCCCCCGAGATGAGGAGGAGGAGGAGGAGGAGGAGGAGGAGGAGGACGACGACGACGACGAGAAGGAGGAGGCGTGGGCCCGAAGGAGGTCGGGTGGATCAGAAGGATGAGGGTGGCAAGGGGAACGGCCTCGGTGATTCTGCAGAGCGCGTGCCGGCAAGACCCTTCGGGAGCGTGCTGGAGGAGGAGGATGAGAATGAGGGCGGAGGGGAAGGGAGGGGGGAGCAGAGGAGGCCGAGGAGGACGAGAAGAAGGCGGGGGTGGAGGAGGAAGCGGGGTGGGAGGAGGAGGAGGAGGAGGAGGAGGAGGAGGAGGAGGAGGAGGAGGAGGAGGAGGAGGAGGAGGAGGAGGAGGAGGAGGAGGAGGAGGAGGAGGAGGAGGAAGAGGGGGAACGTGCGGAAAGGGCACCGACGATGTTGCAATCTTTTCGGCGCCCAAGCCCCTCTTTCACTGGGCCCACGAGAATTTATTTTCGTGGAAGGGTTCAACGCCGTGGACCAACGTGACTGCTTGCTTCCTGACAACCCTGATTCGCGCCAGAACCTAATTATTTAGACGTCAACACAACGAATCAACGTGACTGTTGCGTCCTGACAGTTCGAAGACGTGCTAGAATGCCATTCCTGGGGTTCTAACCATGCGAACCTTTGAAACTGCTGCAAGCTATTGAGGCAAACGTGCATGTTGAAAACAAGCCGCCCTCCGTCAGTAAAGCTATCTCGAGCTTTCAAGACGAATGCGCGCGTCGCTAATGAGAGAGCCACAGTTTGAAAGCGGCCTGCCCTTAATTCTTGAATTGCTGGCAAACTTTTAAAGACGAGTGCGCGCGTCGATAAGGAGAGAGCTATCTGTTGAGCACGACGCGCCCTCCATCAGTGAAGCCGTTGAATGTTTAAGACGAGTGCGCGCGGCGCCAAGGCGAGAGACCCCTGTTGAAAAGGACTCGTCCTCCACGCTGTTGCGAACTCGTAGGTCGAGCATGCGCGTCGCCAGTGCGAGAGTCACATGTTTGAAACGACCCTCGAAGAAGAACAAACCACATAAACATGAACTTTTGGCGCTCCGCGCGGATTTCTTGGATCCGCGCTGGGCCCCCCTAGCGGCGCCTCCGGCGCCACCCCTGGCGCGCGGAGCGCGCCAGGGAGGGGTGTCCAGCGCGGATCCAAGAACTCCGCGCGGAACGTAAAAAGTTTATGTTGATGTTTTTTTTGTTCTTCTTCTAGACCCGCCATCCATGAAGATGTTGCAAACTTTACGGCGAGTGTGCGCGTCGCTGAGGCGAGAGCCACATTTCGAGACAGGCCCGCATTCCATCCGTCAGACCGCTGAGAACTTTTAGGGCGAATGCGCACGGCGCTTAGGCGAGAGCCCCATTTTGAAAGCGAGTTGCCCTCCATCCGTGAACCCGTTGTATGAATTTGAGATTCAGAACGATGATTTGAAGTTGTGTCAGGCGAAACGCCCTGTTCGCCCTACCAACACGTCTGTGGGTGTGACAGGCAGGAGTTTTCCAGCTGCCTGCGGCGAACCCCGCTGCCGCGCTTGTGCTACAGCGTGGCAGGAAGGAGGCTGAGTGTAGGAACGGCGCAATTCGCACGCGTAGTCTGCACTGGGGCGGGTCGTCATCCCGACATCGTCTTCGTCCGCGCGATAGGGGGGAGGTGGAGCTGGAAGAGGAGGAGGAGGAGGAGGAGGAGGAGGAGGAGAATCAGTACAAACCCGAGACCAGCAACGATGTTGGAATAAACGTTTTTTTTGTGCAAGGGTTCATTTCCACTCAGGAAGTGCCCCTTCAGACGACCGTCTGAAAATCCTGAAGCGCGCCAAATAGCCATTCTCGGGACTTCAGCGCCATGAATCAACCTAGCTGTCGAGTCTTGAGGATCCTGAATCGTGCCAGAAACGACTGCCAGAACATCATTCTGGGGACGCCAACGCCGCGAAGCAACATGACTGTTGCGCCCTAGCAATCTTGAGCCGTTCTAAAACACAAATGCTTGTACGCTAGCCATGAGGAGTCCCGAAATTCCTGCAAAGGTTTGAAACGGATGCGCGCGGCACTGAGGCGAGGGCCACAGTTTGAAAACGACCCGCTCTCGATCCATGAAACTCCTGCAGCGGTTTGAGACGAGTGCGCGCGGCGTCGAGGCGAGAACGGCGCACGGAAAGCGACCCGCCCTCGGCCCGTGATGCCCTTTGCATTGCTGCAGGGCGGATATGCGCGGCGCTGCGGCGAGAGCCACGCGTCGCGAACGGCTTGCCCTCGATCCGTGAAGTTCCTTCCCGCAACTGCGAAGACGGGTGTGCGTGGCGCGAGGGCGAGAGCCACACCTTGAAAATGACCCGCCCTCGATCCGTGAAGCGCTTGCAAAGTTTGAGCACACATGTCATGGCGCGAGCACCGCAGGGCGGATCTCGTTCGGAAAACGATAGGGTGGGCCCGGAGAGTCCCAGAGAATGTCGCTCCGGATTTCGACGTGAAGTTCGTGTTTTTTTGGCCAGGAATGAAGGCCAGAAAGAACCCACGCGAAATTCACTCCGTTTTTCGCTCGCCGCTTCGGGCAACATCCACGCAGAGATCCACGCAGACATCCGCTGCAGCACGTCTACAAGGCCCGTGCGATGGCACATCTTGAACACGATCCGTCCTCGATCCGTGACGCGCTTGCAGAGTTTTAGCACACATGTGCGCGGCTCCGAGGCGAGACCACAGTTTGGAAACCACCCGCCCTCCATGTGTGAAATGGTTGCTGGATTTCAAGCCTCATGATCACAGATGGAAAAGAAGTGTCGGGCGAGACGCGCGGCCCCCCTTTCCGAAGGTCTTGGGGTTCGACAGGGAGGAGCGGTTTATTTGGAAAAAAAGAATGGAGGAGCGGGAGGAAATCAGGATGAGGAGGGACAGGATTCTTGGGTCCTGCCCCTTGGGCGATCTTTTTGGTCCTCCGAGCCGACGTGGGGCCCTCTTGGGGACCCCCTGGACGGTCCTGGAGCTATATCGGAGGCCTCTCGGAGGCTTCTTGGGCTGTCTTTGGCGGTCGGAAACCCGAGCAGACGAGAACTCAAACATCTGTCAAATACCTACTTTAGCAAAGTCATTGGGTTTGACCCCCTCGGCCTGTCCAGGAAGGCCTCTTGGAGCTTTTCGGGCCTTCTTGGATGCCCCTTGGAGCTCTCGCGGGCCGTCCTGGGAGCTTTCTCTTCGGGGAGCCTTGAGGCTGTCTTGAGAACCTCTTGAGCTACCCTGGCCCCCTCGAATCGTTTTGTTGTCGTCTTGGCTGCCTTGGAAGCCCTCCTGGAGTCCATCTTGGCCGTCTGGAGGCCGAGCAGACGGCCAAAACACAATTCAGAGGGGGCGGTGTTCGAGGGGTGCGTGCGGGGACGGAGGGGTCGGCCTTAGAAAAAAAATCAGTGATTGGACAACGGGCAAGCATTCTAACCTGCCCACTCCGTGTAGGCACGGTGGCGGATTTATAATGAGGAAGAAGATGGAGGAGGGGGAGGAAGAGGAAGGATAAGAGGGAAGGAAAATTTGATCCGCCAGGGTTTTTTCAAGCCTTGTGTTACTGCAGACCCACAAGTATGCGTCGGATTATACATCTCCACGAGAGAATCACGTCGGTGGAGTAGCATAGTTGGGTGAGAATCCCACGGCGGGATTTGGAGCCCTGTCTGAACGTGGACCCGCTGCAGAGCATAGCCTGTTGCAGGTGTGCGCGCCGTGAATGCTGTGCTGATGTGATCGCCGCGAGAAGGCTCGTGGAGGTGGGATTGTGCCGTCGCCAAGAAGTGGAAATTGAGAGAACGATGCAGTCCAGCTTTTGCTGCTACTGTGGGACAGTGAGTGTGGCGTTGCGGTAAGGGAATTAGTGCCGGGATTGGAACTGTGAGACGGCAAATGGTGGTTCGTGGGAGGGATCGGTCGTCTGCTGCCTTGAGAGCAGCATGTTAGCACGTTGGGGGTGACGCACTGATGGGCCTCCGTGAGACAGGTCCTACCAAGGCATGAGGGTTGTGTTCGCCTCGCCTGCCAGGTTGTGAGCAGTCAAGGAGGAGTGCCTGTCATATCGGAGAAGTTGGGTGGATTCAGACAGCGGGATGTGTCCGCGTGGTCAGGCAAGGCATGGGCATGCCGCCTTGTCGGCAGTGTCCTCGCTGGCTACGGGCCGAGTGTGGAGCGGGTTGGCGAGGGCGGGGCTGTCGGTCGTAGCTCGGACGGCGAGGTTCTTCTTGGCGTAGTCCGTGTTGTCGTAGCCCGGGTAGCACTCCTCCTCGTTGTTGTCCATGATTCTAGGCCTCCTTGACGGGGTCGGAGTAGATGGGGTCGGAGGATCGCGCCGTATCGCCGATGCATCGGCGATGCGGCTCGATGCGGGTCCGTGCTTCCCCACGCCGATGTCGCCGATGCATCGCCGACGTCGCCGATGCATCCCTCCGGTGCATCTCTCCGATGTATCGGCGATGCACTGGCGATGCGGCGCAGCTCGGACCCCATCTGGGAGGCCTCTACTGAATCTCGGAGCGAACGATGGCGTACCCGGTGTCGCAGGTGTTCACCACCCACCAAACGACCCCGTCCCAACCCGACGGCCTCAATTTCCCCTCCATTTCCAGTGGGGGGGGGGTGTCAGGGAACACTGAAACAGCACATATGGAACCCGTACCCCCCCTCAACCCGAACTTCGGGTCAAATTCGGGTTGGGTTGGGGTGGTCTGGTAGGTCGTCAGGCATCGTTCTCTCTCTCTCTCTCTCCATGTGTTGGGCCTGCTGGCATCGTGCCTCGCGCAGCAGGCGGCCGCCGTGGAGTGCCCCATCTGTGCGGCGGAGTCTGGAGGGTGGACCGCGCCTGCCGCACCTCTCCTCCTCCTCCTCCTCCTCGTCCTCCTCCTCCTCCTCCTCCTCCTCCTCCTCCTCCTCCTCCTCCCCCTCCTCCTCCTCCTCCTCCTCCTCCTCCTCCTCCTGGTTTTGTCCGCGGGCAGGGCGCCAGGGGGCCGAACAGAAAAATGGCCCAAAATGGCCCCCTCCTCTCTCCTCCTCCCTCCTCCTCCCCCTCCCTCCTCCTCCTCCTCCTCCTCTCCTCCCCCTCCTCCCCCTCCTCCTCCTCCTCCTCCTCCTCCTCCTCCTCCTCGCCCTCCTCCTCCTCCTTCTCGTGGAGCCTCGGACCCCGAGTTGTTTTGGGGCAGCCTGGTGCTCATCCTCCTCTGGTGCGAGGCTACCCCCATCCATGTATTGCAGATTGCCCGTGCGTCGCTGCCGAGATCTCTGTTGGGTGGGCTTCGGCGCACCTTCCGGGGGCTCGATGGGGCCTTCCTGGGCCCTCTCCTCTTGGTGTGCCCGCCTGTGCTGACGCGCGGCGGCCGCCAGCAGCGTCCTATCCTCCTCCCCAGGGAAGAAAAGCGGCGCCACAGACTCCTGCCTGCTGAAGTTCGTCGCGGCGGTGGAGGCCGCGTACGTGCCGAACCCGTACCACAATTTTTCCCACGGCCGCCAGGGGGCCCGTCCGAGGCGAGGACTTCTCAGTGACCACCACCCGGGGGACCGAGCTTCGGAGGCTTCGGCTGGCGGCGGGTGGATGGATATGTTCGGGCCCTCCAGGGGGCCAAGTATGCACTTTTTTGTCAACGGCCGCGGGCGAAAGCGCAACAGCGGCGTGTCAAAGTCTGGGCGGCCGCCGCGAGAGGTACTAATTAGACAGACAGAAGCAGTTCGAGCACCGGCACTCAGGACGGGACCAGGAAGTCAGGGCCAAGTAAACGCCATACGCATAAAACTTCCGGCGCTCCGCGCGGATTTCGCGGGTCCGCGCGGGGGCCCCTGGCGGCGCCTCCGGCGCCGCCCTGGGCGCGCTCCGCGCGCCAGGGAGGGGGGGTCCAGCTCAAATCCGCGCGGATCGTCGAAAGTTTGTGTGTTTATGCCGCTTCTTCTTCCTCTCATGCGCTCCTCCGCCTGCCGCGGTTCTCGAGGCTTGATGGCCAACGGCGGTGGCAGTGCATACACCCCCGCCCTGCAGACTCTGAGACCTGGGTCGGGCGATACTTGTCACAGGTGGCGGCCCCCTTGCTGATGTGCTTGTTTACCACCACCACCACCATAAGTTGGAGTGGGAGGGGGTCCTCCTCCTCCTCCTCCTCCTCCTCCTCGTCCACCTCCTTCCCCCCTCTAACTTCTGGTGGTGGTGGTGGAAAACAGGCCCATCACTTGCGTTTCCGTCTCACGTCCAGCGGGGAGCAGGATTTGCCCGCTCCCGCGGCTGTCGACCTCGAGGGGTATGCTAGATTCGGCGTCACCCCAGCATGCTTATACTATATGTTCGTCGCTCCCCACAGGTGCGACGCGCGCACCGAGAAATCTTATAGTATATGCGTTGTGGCGGGCGCTTTCTGGCCACACCGCTCGGGAAACGATCTACTACAAGATGGGTCTACTATATGTTCGTGTCGGACGCGCGCCTCCAGGGAGGAAGCATAGTATTCTTAGTATGCTTCTGTGCGTCCCATAGCTCTGTCCGCTCTCATCTCCTGCTCCTCCAACCAAAAAAAGACTCTGAGACCTGGGCGTCGCAGTTATTTCTTCACATACGTGCTCTGGGGCCCTAACGGATCGTTCCCGCGTGACGGGGTCGAAGGTTTTGGGCGTGATTCTCTTGGATGTTGGATGTCCTCACGACGATGCCAGTTCTGAGGAGGATCGATGCTTCCCGACGTGCTTGATTGTCGTTCTGAATCCTCCGGAGGTCTCAGGGACTTCCTGGCTGCACTCCAGATGCCTCCAGAGATCTCTGGAGGCCTCCTAAATTTCCTCCTTGGGTTGCACCACTATTGGGCATCGTGCCCGTACTTTCTCTCACCATTCTGGGCGTACAGATAGTAGGAGCAGGAGGAGGAAGGGAAGAGGAAGGAGGGAGGAGGAGTATCAGGCGGAGGAGGATGAGGAGGACCAGTGTAAGCCCAGGGGGGCACTAACGATGTTACAAGAAACCCTCCCTGCAAGTTAGCTCGTCACAGGTTCCATACAAGAGTTTGTGGTTGTTGCGGGAAGCGCCCCATTCTAGAACAACCGTCTGAGAACCCCCAATCGTGCCAAAACACAATTGCTGGGACTGCAATGTCGCAGAGCAACTTGACTACTGCGTCCTGGCAGTCCTGAATCGTACCAGAACGTATTCCTGGGAGTCCAACTTCGCGAATCAACATGCTTGTTGCGTCCTGGCAGTCTTAAGTTGTGCCAGATAAGCGTTCCTGAGACGGCAGCCACGAAACTCTTGCATTTTTTATGACGAATGCGCGCAGCAGTTAGCCGAGAGTCACATTCTGATAATGACCCACATTTATCCTTGAGGCTGTCGCACATGTTCAAGACAAATGTGCGCAGCGCTGCGGCGAAAGCCTGATTTTGATAACAAGCCGCCTTCCATCCTTGAACGATTGGAAGCTTTTAAGACGAATGTGCGCGGCGCGAAGGGGAGAGCCACATTTCGATGACGACCCGCCGTCGGTTTGTGGAGCTGTCGCAAGCTATTGCGACCAGTGTGTGCGGCGCGGAAGCGCGGGTCACGTTTTGAGAAAGGCATGCCCTCCATCTGTGCAAGCGTCACACGCTTTCAAGTCCCAGGATCGCAAATGGTGAGGGAATCGGGCGGCATGCAGGGCTGCCTCACTGTCGCGCCAGGAGGTGCGACGGGGAGGAGTTGTTGCTACGGACACGGAATGGAGGTGGACGAGGATGCGGAGGGGGGCGGGGGACGAGGGCGAGTAGGAGGCGACGGAGACGAGGACGCGTAGGAGGCGACGGAGACGAGGGGGCGTAGGAGCAGAGGGAAAAGGAGGAGGAGGAGGAGGAGGAGGAGGAGGAGGAGGAGGAGGAGGGGGAGGATGACGGAGAGGGAGGAGGAGAGGAGGAGGAGGGAGGAGGAGGAGGAGGAGGAGGAGGAGGAGGAGGAGGAGGAGGAGGAGGAGGAGGAGGAGGAGGAGGAGGAGGAGGAGGAGGAGGAGGAGGAGGAGGTGGAGGAGAGGAGGAGGAGGAGGAGGAGGAGGAGGGGAGGAGGAGGAGGAGGGCGGAGGCGGAGGCGGAGGCGGAGGCGGGGGAGGCGGAGGGGAGGAGGAGGGAGGAGGAGGAGGAGGAGGAGGAGGAGGAGGAGGAGGAGGAGGAGGAGGAGGAGGAGGAGGAGGAGGAGGAGGAGGAGGAGGAGGAGGAAGGAGGAGGAGGGGAGGAGGCGAGAGGCGGAGGAGGAGGAGGAGGAGGAGGAGGAGGAGGAGGAGGAGGAGGAGGAGGAAGACGAAGAAGAAGAATAATAAGAAGAAGAATCATAAGAAGAATAAGAAGAAGAAGAAGAAGAATAATAAGAAGA